CTTCGGCGGAACTCCTATGGGGCCACGAACCGTGTGGGGGGTGTGCCAAAATGGGCCTGCAGTGGGCGGGGAGGGCTCATGCGAACTGTGCCATGGAGACCTTCGGCTGAACTCCTATGGGGCCACGAACCGCGTGAGGGGTGTGCCAACATGGGCCTGCGGTGGGCGAGGGGAGGGGGGGGGGGGGGGGGCATGCGAACTGTGCCGCTGCTGCCTTCGGCAGCTTCTATGGTGTGTGAGGGGTGTGCCAAAATGGGCCTGCGGTGGGCGGGGAGGGCGCATGCGAACTGTACCACTGGGACCCTCGGCGGAGCTCCTATGGGGCCACGAGCCGCGTGAAGGGTGCACCAAAATGGGCCTGCGGTGGGCGGGGAGGACGCGTGCGAACCGTGCCACTGGAGCCTTCGGCGGAGCTCCTATGGGGCCACGAAACCTATGGGGACCACGAGCCACGTGAGGGGTGTGCCAACATGCGCCTGCGGTGGGCGGGGAGGGCGCATGCGAAATGTACCACTGGGACCTTCGGCTGACCTCCTATGGGGCCACGAACCGTGTGAGGGGTGTGCCAAAATGGGCCTGCGGTGGGCGTGGGGGACGCATGCGACCTGTGCCACTGTGACCTTCGGCGGAGCTCCTCTGGGGCCACGGACCGTGTGAGGGCTGTGCCAAAATGGGCCTGCGGTGGGCGGGGAGGGCGCATGCGAACTGTGCCAATGGGGCCTTCGGCGGAGCTCCTATGGGGCCACGAACCGCGCGAGGGGTGTGCCAACATGGGCCTGCAGTGGGCGGGGAGGGCGCATGCGAACTGCGCCATCGGGACCTTCGGCGGAGCTCCTCTGGGACCACGAGCCGCGTGAAGGGCGTGCCAACATGGGCCTGCAGTGAGCGGGGAGGACGCATGCGAACTGTGCCACTTGGACCTTCGGCGGGGCTCCTATGGGGCCGCGAACCGCGCGAGGGGTGTGCCAAAATCAACCTGCGGTGGGCGGGGAGGACGCATGCGAACTGTGCCGCTGGGACCTTCGGCGGAGCTCCTATTGGGCCACGAACCGTGCGAGGGGATGTTGATGATGATGACGACGATAATGACGATGATGGTGATGATGATGATGATGGTGATGATGATGATGATGATGATGCGGGGGCGGGTCGAGGCCAGACGCTCCTTTTTGTGCCAGGGGCCGAGGGCGCTCCGAGGCCACAAGCATGCTGGGCACAAAACTGTCAGAGTGGAAGAGAAAACAGGGGGAGGGGGGCGGGAAGAACTTTAGCGAGGAGAACGGCGGCGGATCACACTCGCAAGCCACAAACGCCTTTCGCAGAGCTAAATGTCGGGGCGGGCCCAGGTCAGACGCCCCTTTTTGTGCAAGGGGCCGAGGGCGCTCCGAGGCCACAAGCATGCTGGGCACAAAACGGTACCACACATGCTAGCTTGGTTATCTGGCCGAGAGGCCGCCCCCCCAAAACGAAAACCATTCAACAAGACGTGATAGCTTTGCAGATCCTCGCGACCGAGGCTAAACGACGGGCGCTCTCGAGCGCGGCGTGCACACCTTCAAACGCAACATACTTGTGAGTATTTCGAGCTCGGGCCCGTTGGGCCGCATCAAGTTGAGGAAGTCCGAGAGAGCCAAGATGAAACTTGCGAGATGTGTCACATCTAGCACGCGAGCATTTACAACGAACTGAAAGCTTGTGCAAACCACCTACGTGCCAGCCTACGATGCGCCAGGTGCGGTGCACACGGCCTTCGAACATACAAGCATCGAAAACAGCCTCGGACGATGCGTACTGAAGGAGGCGCAACACGAGCGGATGGTGCCACAGCGCGCTGCTGGCAGGATGCTCGAGAATGGCAGGAACGTTACTCTGGACGCACACTCTAAGCGTCTGCAACAACTTGTGAATATCAGCATTCGCGACATTGACCTGGGACTGTACAATCGAACTAAGATGGGCGAACCCGAGGGGCCGAGCCGACGACCTGGCTGGGGGCCTGGCACACACGGACCAGGACGGGAGACCAGGCCGAAACCAAGACCCCGCGAAGCAGGAACCGCGAATCCAGCCGTGGACGACGAGGGAAACCCCAGGCGCGCCCAGGTCGTCGGTAGGGCACCGACTCGGGCCCAGAACAACGCAACCTAGTCCCTGCTGGCGACAAGCCTTATCGATACGCTCGAGGTGCGAGCCACACAACAAGAAAATGAACCGAGGCGCGGCCGGGCTGTGACGAGTTGCACGCCTGAGCAGTCTAGTCAGCCGAAGCGCCGCCGGCGGCTCAGCTGGGGCGGGCGAGCCCGCTTGGCCTTCGCCGCCGCCGGCGGGTGTAGAGGCCGGGGCGGCAGCGGGCAATCGCCAGTCGCCGCCGTCGTCGAGATGAGCTCGGCCTCCCGCCCGTCCACCGCGCTGCCCAGCGCCACGACGTGCTGCCCGAGCGTGTAGATGGTCGAGACGTCGTCCCAGATGCCGAGCCGGATCAGCGCCTCGCGGAAGGCCTGGCTGCTCGCCGACGGCGGGAAGCTCCAGAGCAGATCGCTCGCCGCGCGGTGCCGCCTCAAGCCCTGGAGGAGCGGCCGCAGGGACGCGTTGTCGACGATCACACTCTCGTCGGTCGCACTCGTCTTGCCAGGGCCGGCCGTCGTCGCTTCGTTGACGATCATCCCCCAGTGCTGGTGGCCGTCCGCCGACCCCGCCCGCGGCTCCACCAGACTGCCTGCCACCAGGCGATAGGCCTCGCTGGGCCTGAGGTAGGTGTCGAACGCCAACCTCGCGAAGACGGCCTCTCCAAACCTCCTCTCCAGGGCGAGCAGCCCCACGACCGCCGACATCGCCAGCCGCGGCAGGGGGAGACGCATCTGGGGGGGCACCAGGCGCCCCCAGCCCTTGAGAGCCCGCGTGGCCCGAGGCGATGGCCGGGGCCCCGCCAACAGGTGTGGCAGTAGATGGCGAAGGGTCATCATCGCCATGCGCCCCGTCGCCGTGTCGAAACCGCCCAGGCCAACGATCCCGAAGAAGATCAGCAGCAGCGCGTCCAGCTCGGCGGCGCCCCCGAACGACTGAGCCGTCCACGTGCAACACTGGTGGAAGCGCACGGCATGTGCGCGGTGCGAGTCCAGCGTCCGCTGAGTCACCGCGACGCTCACGAGGAACGAGGTCTTGCCGTTCAGCAGCTGCAGGTGGCCAGGGTGAGGAAGCGCCCGCTGGACATCGAGCCGCAGGTCGCCGCTCGAGGGCCTGCTCGCCCGCTTCGCCTTCGAAGTCCTTCCGCGGCCCCAAGCAGAAGCCCGACCTGGAGGGGCCATCGGCCACGTTCCAGTTCCGCTCACTCGGAATCCATCGCACGACAACTCGGATACCTGTGGCGAGGCTGAGAGCGGCGATCCGTCGCAGGAGGTGTCGCAGATGCTCGGAGCCAGTGCGACCCTTGCCGTAACTAAGAGCCAGAGCCAAATTGTCGACGAGAAACAGGATGCGACGCCCATGGTTGCCAGTCTTCCGAGCTGCATGACGGATAACAAAACAAAGCGCCCCCCCCCCCCCCCCCCCCCCCCCCCCCATGACCCCCACTCATCCCGTATGACTGACGAGCCCATGCTGATGAACCGGAACTGGAGATGAATGAGCAACCCATGCCCGTGGGCCGAATCGTAAGGCACCGACGGCACCTCGACGAAAACCGAGATGGTGGCGACGTCCCCCTCCCCGAGCAGCACAGCCGATGGCAGCGAGCAACCAGCAGCAGCATCTTGATGAACCGATTTATCTCCTCCTCCTCCGAACGCATGGGCTCTGGCAGAGATGGCCTCCGAAACCTTTTTACCTCCACTTCTCAGCAACCCTGCCCGTGGGCGCGACAATGAGGGGGTCAAGTTTTTTTTTTTTTTTACACACACACACACACTCCTTTCCCGCACGGCGAGGCATCTGATGCGTAGGCGCTGCCCAGCCACGGGGCGCGAGACAACGCCCACATCATCGGCAACAGTGCAGCCACGGCTGAGAGTTCCTGTCGTACCGATGGCCATAGCCTCATGGGTGTGGGACCAGCCACTTGAATGAAACGATAAACACCGTTGAGTATCGACAGGCACTCTCTCCGCGTGATCATGGCCCAGGTGGCGTGACCCCCTATTGAGGTCATGGCTCCTCGCGACGCCGAGCCGCGCGACAGAATAGCAAGAATAGCCTGCCGCAGCCTGACCAGGCGGTCGGGTCTCGCGCGCAGCCTGCCCGTCTTGCCCGAGAACTGGATGCGAGTGAAAGCGCCCTCAATCTGAGCTTCAGTGAAGTCGCGCACGGGCAGACCTCTCGAAGTCAGCAGCTCGGCGAGCTCACGGGCCTTCGAGGTCGCCGCCGAGGCCGTCTGGGACACCGCGCAGAAGTTGTCGACGTACCCCGCGGCCACCAGGTCCCTCTTGCCGACCAACTGCTCGGGGGCAGAGCCATCGGCCAGGTGGCGGCTCGGCTGGATCCCCACATCGATCATGTCGCGCACTAGCGCCGACTGGCAGAGGTAGAGCGCCCGGTTCCATCCCATCGGCATCACCCGCACGACGGGCTGCAAAACGGTGCGCATGTGCACGAGCTGGGCGCCGATCCTCTTCAACCCCACGAAGCGGTTCGAGATGGAGGGCAAGCGGGAGAAGTCCCCCAAGCCGCTGGGCACCGCCATGTGGTAGAAGGCGCACTGGATGTCGCCTTGGGCCACGTAGAAGTCGTCGGACGACTCGAGAGAAGCCCAGGCCGATGGCGTCGGCAGCACCGTGCTAGGAGGAGACTTGAAGTATGTGTTCGCCACCCTCGTGTCGAACACTAACCGCTGCCTCCCGCCTGACTTCTCCACGCAGAAAATCCCGACGGAGTAGGAGGGGGAAGTAGAAGACGCCACAGTCCATTCGATCATGTGGCGCAGCAGCACCGTGTCTAAAAAACTCAGCATACTCCCGAGGATCACGCAGCAGTGGGTCGACATAGGGTTGCTGAGCGCCTAGCGACACCTGGAGCTCCGCGATCTCGTCTTCGGATCTCAACATACTCTGCCTCCAACCCTGCAGCTGGATGGCGTCGGCCTGCTGCGCGACGGACCCCGCCTCGACAGGCGGCCCCGACAGAGCAGGCCAGGCCACGAGGGCCTTGTCGTAGGGTCTGACCCGTGAGCTGTTCTGGCAGCCTGGGGTCGTAGAGAGCACCTCTGCAAGGGATGCTTCGCAGAACTGTCGTTGCTCGCTGTAGCCAGCTGGCAACTCGAAACTACGGTAATTCTCCTGAAGCTCCTCGACCGCGACGTGCTGCGCCAAGGAATGATCCGCTGACCCGCGAGCGAGAGGAAGCCTATCAGCGCGCCCATGGAGCCAGTTGAAAGCCTCGATACCCTCGTTGCACCACCGGCGCCAGGCAGCACCGCGGGCGGCGCTGCTGACGAGGCCGACGCCCTGCCACGGAGTGCAGCCGCGCGTCGACATCCAGCAGAGGTAGCGGCAGAGCATCCCGCTGGCGCTGGCGAGGGGCCTGCGGCGGCCCCAAGCCAGGTGGCGGCCCTGGGGGCCTGGGGCTCGGCGAGCTGGGCAGCCCTGGGGCTGGCCCCACCCATCTCACGTCTCCAGGGGGCGTCATGGCGCCCGCAAGGCTCGCTCCTCGCGGGCCCTGCGTCGTTCTTTGGACACCGCCGCCTCGTTGCGCATCTGCTCGGCGATGAACTGCATCAGCGCTGGGCAGATGCAGAGGTTGCCCTTCGTCTCCCCGATCCCGAGGAAGTGGCCAACCTCGGTGGACAGAGCGTCCTGGCATGGCGCCTCTTTCTTGCCCTGACCCTTCAACGCGGCAGCTGTCTTCCGCGTCTTCTCGTCGTAGACCCTCTCCTCGATGAGCTGCAGCTGCCGCGCGAGGTATTCGAAGCTTGCCAGCTCCGTGATCACCAACTGGTCGCACACCATCGACGTCTCGAGGATGCGGCAGATCGTCTCGTGCTGCTTCGCCGCCTCCTCACTCTCGGCGATGCCCACCACGGCGAGCCAGCGAGTGTGCCACGCCACGGCGCCGCCCGCCATCCTGAGCATGAGCGTGAGAACCCAGAGAAGGGCCCGTGGGCCCAGGACGGGCCAGTCCTCGCGCTCGAGCTCCGTCTGCTCCTTGAGCGCGTCACCGAACGAGCGATCGCGGCGGCCGCGCGTGTCCCTCGTGACGACGAGGACCCGCGGGTCGGCGCCAGGGGCATCGGGCGCTGGGGGCGTGGCCGTGCCGCCCACGGCAGCGCCAGGGAGCGCGCCGGGCCGGAGGGCAGAGGCCAGCGCGTCGCCGAGGGGGTCGGGAGGCCCGTGCGGAGGGGGTTCTCCTCCGAGCGCGGGCGGCGCAGCGGGCACCAGGGGGCCGCCCCTGGGCGGCGAGGCTGCTGCCTGGGGGTCGCGGAGGAAGAGCAGCCCAGGGGCCATCCCGAGCACGCTCCCCTCGCCGAGGTGCATGCCGAAGTCCTCCTGCGGAAGAGCACCAGCACCAACAGCGACCGCCTCGCGCACAGCGTCCCACACCTCCTGCGCCGAGGGCACCCGCCTGAAGCGGTACACGCTGCCAGCACCCACCCCGTCGACCACTGCCCCCTGCCCCGCGAGAGGCTTGATGCCCTCGACGTCCCTCGAGAGGAACTGGTCCTCGGGGTACACGTCGAGGTCGGGGGTCATGATGTACGCCCCCAGGATGACCAAGCGCTCGTGCCAGATCTCTCGCCCTGGGGCGTTTAACCGCACCGCATAGAAGCTGCCAGGGAGGAGCGCCATTGGCTCAGCGGCCTGTCAGCGCCCTGCGCCGCGCCAGCTGCGCCTGCTCCGCTGCCGCTTGCTCGAACCCCGACGCCGCCGACGCGGGGAGGTCCGCCTGCACGCTGGCAAGCTGCGGCGGCGGGGGGCGGTCTCCTCCTGCGGCGGACCTCGCGGACGATGAAGATCCCCGCGACCGAGACGCCCGCCGCGAAGCCTTGCAGAAATCCGAGGGCCCAGCACCAACTTGACGCCGACGGGTCAGGCGCCGCCGACAGGTGCCCCTCGCCAGCAGGGCAGGAGCAGGTAAGGGGTGGACACGTGAGAGTCGGTTTGCGCACACAGGCTGGACAGGGATCGGCGGCAGCGCGGACTATCAATGCGGTCTGAAGGGAGCGAACGAGGTCGGGGACCGCCTCGACGGGAAACGCCAGCATCCCCTGAAGAACTCGAGCAAGGAAAACGGCGGCAGATCACACTCGCAAACCATAAACGCCTCTTGCAGAGCTAAATGATGATGAGGATGCTGATGATGATGGTGATGGGAGGGGAGGAGGGGGAGGAGGAGAGGAGGAGGTGGGACGCACGGCGCTGTCTCGTCAGAACGAGGACCAAACACCTCAGGATGGTTGGGAAAAAAAGGCGAGGCAGCTCGGCTTCCGTTGTCAGCACTCAAAACTCCCAAAGACAGTGGCCTCCGCAATTCCAGGGGGGCGCTGAGTCCTGGGGCTCTGGGGCGGGTGGCGCGTGAGCAGGTCCGCCCAAGGGCGGCACCTCGTCAGCCCCTGGCGGGGCCCTGATCACAAAAAGAAAGCTTCCCCCCGCGAGTGCATCGTGGCGAGAGGGGGCCTCCAACGAAACCATGGTCAGAGCCTGGGCCCAGAGGATATCATAGACTTCCTGGTCGCCGTAGTGTGCTTCAGCACGGGCTATAAACTTGAGGGCGGATCGAGCGAAGGCCAAACAACCACTAAGAAGGGGTGATCAGCCTCGGTGTGGCGGACCAACGCTGCTCCTTTCTTTACAAAGGCGTCGGCCTTGCGATTACCTTCCCGCTCAAACGCGGTCAGCTTACCCTCACGAACGTCGTAGGCGGTGGCATGCGCGGGCATTTGCTTCGCCTCCATACCCTCGAGGCCTCCAGCGCGGTAGGCGAGTGCCCACAGGTGCCCTCGGGTCTTGCCTGGCCTGCGCCCAACGTCTGGACTGAGACAACAGGCCAGGGTGCCAGCACAGTCAGTGTACAGTGGGAACGTGCCAGCGAGATGCCTGGCGCCTTGAGGACAGAGAAACCCTATCCGTCCCTGGCTACCTGGGCTGGAAGGAAGTGAGGCGGGACTGAGCCGTACCAACCTGCCAAGAGCGTGCGGCAGGCGTCGTAAATAGCCACACCCAAGCCAGCCACTCGTATGGACGGAAACTCCAAGTCAAACCCCGAGCCGTCGCACAGAACATGGCCTCCCCAGAGAACCAAGAGTGACGGCATACCTTCGACTCGAAGCTCCGAGGACGGGCCCCAGGGCTTCCTGGCAAACACCTCGCAAGGGTCAGGCGGGAGGCACCTGGCAAACCTTGCCTGAAGCACAATGGACCCCAAGGCCAGGAAAGACGCAGCCTGGGCAACATCTGGGGGAATGTTGTCCCTCCTCCACGCGGCCCTGACAGGACAGTCGATGTGTCGGTGAAAAAGGTCGCCCTTGGCGCCGAACACGAGGCAATCCTCCGACAAGTCACTGTCGTGCTGAGCGAGGCGGTGTTGGCACCGGTGTGAGTCAATGACTAGGCCCCTAAGGGATCGCTACTCTCGACCCCCCCCCACCGCTGCCACCGTCACGGCCGCCTCCCCCTTCGACGTCTTCATGGCTAGGCCACCAGTAGAGGAGCTCATTCAGAGGCCCCCAAAACACCGCGGCCTCCCAAGCTCGACCAGCACCTACTCGGGCGAGGGCTTGACGGTCGGAGGTGGCTGGGGCAGCTAATTAGGCGGGCCCGCTCGGCAAGGAACCCTGGAGAAACATCCCTGATGTCCCAGACTTGGCCGGAGAGTTCCAGGATCTCCCAAGGCCCCTGGAAACGAAAATCAATTCGCCTGCACGTGAGGATGCGGTCGCGCACATGCGGCCACGGCTTGGGTTTGAGGGCAGTTCGAGCACCCTTATGAAACAAATACTCGAGCACTACAGCAAAAACCATGCCTGATTTGACTAGATGTGCATCAGTCTGAAGAGCGCGAAGGAGGAGGAGGACGAGGAGGAGGAGGAGGACGAGGAGGAGGAGGAGGAGGAGGAGGAGGAGGAGAAGGAAGAAGAGGTGGAAGAGGAGGAGGTGGAGGAAGAGAAGTAGGAGTTTTTGTGCTCAGAACGCGGTCGTCGACCACGGAGGGGGGGGGAGAAGGAGGGGGAGGAGAGGGGAGAAGGGGAGGAGAGGGGGAGGAGAGGGGGAGGAAGGAGAAAGCCGGGCCCACGTCTTTTCCGCGCCGTCACCGCGGCTGCCGCCGGCCCCGTCCAGCGTTCGCGACCTCGGCCGCCCGCGAATGCCCTGGAGCAATGCCCCACAACAGGCGGCTCGAGTTCCTCTTCTGTGTCTTAGACGATGGCTCACACACTTGCGCAAGCCCGCGGTAGTGCTCGGTCCCCCGGCATCCGCACGCCGCGCATGCTAGGAGCCGCTTACCCCTCCCCACGTCCCAAAACTGGAGGGCACGCGAGGGGTAAGGGAGCTTCCCACCCCGCACCAGCACCCAAGCGGCACGTGGAAGTTCTCCGCGCACGCCACGGGCTGCACGTACACGGTCCGCAGCCACTCGACGATGTGTTCTTCTGGGACCGTCGCCTGCCTGGGGCCGCACTCCCGCAGCGCCGACGTCCGACGTCGCCAGGCCGTCCCCACGTCGTGCTGGCAGAGGTCCCCCCTGGCCACGTCGAGCCGCGGCCTGGCCGCCCGCTCCCGGCGCTCCACCCACCGCCTGCCATAATCGTCAGCGTCGGCATGATGGCGATCAGCCGCCTGCTGACGTCCGCGGCCTTCCGCTCCATCTCCAGGAGCTCCTCCACGAGTGAGGGGAGGAGGAGGAGGAGGAGGAGGAGGAGGAGGAGGAGGAGGAGGAGGAGAAGGAGGAGGAGGAGGAGGAGAGGAGGAGGAGGAGGAGGAGAGGAGGAGGACGAGGAGGAGGAGGAGACCGCTCCTGATTCAAGCGCGACCCGCTGAAGGAGGACGAGGAGGAGGAGCAGGAGGAGGAGGAGGAGGAGAAGAGGAGAAGGAGAAAAACGAGGAGGAGGTGGAGGAGGAGGAAATTGAGCAGCATGAGGAGGAGGAGGAGCAGCAGAAGGAGGAGTAGTAGGACGAGGAGCAGGAGGAGGGGGAAGAGGAGGAGGAGGAGGAGGAGGAGGAGGACAAGCAGGATGAGGAAAAGGAGGAGGAGGTTCCGAGGAGAAGAAGACGACGATGACGACGACGACGAAGACGACGACAACTCCGGCCGGCCCCCTGGCGACAGAAAAGGTGCCCTGGAGTTCGCCACGGCCCAGGCTCTGCGGCAACCTTGGGGCCTGAGACGAGGTGGGAGCTGCTCTGGTGGGAGATCCTGGCGGTGGACCCGTGCTCCTGCGGGGGGGCGGGGGGTGGGCGCTCTCGTCGCACCATAATATTACGAGTTGCCTTGCCATGTTTCGTATTTTAGGAACATCCGTTTGTTGCTGCTCATACCATACTTGCCAATACTCTTACAATTATTACGGGCGGGCGCTTTGTCTCGGCATCAGTACCAGCAGGCGGCGCGCCACCAAGGGCTTGCACTCGGGAGCACGGACACAAGAGTGGACAGTTCATGGGGCACACCCTCTGGTCCACAAAACTGCCGCGGCACCCTGCGCTCGGAGGAGACAGAGAGAGAGGGAGAGAAACAGAGAGAAAGAGAGAGAGAGAGAGAGAGAGAGAAAAAGAGAGAGAGAGAGAGAGGGACAGAGAGAGAGAGAGAGAGCGGGATAGAGGCAAAGAGAGAGAGAGAGATGGAGAAAGAGGAGAGAGAGAGAACACACATACAAACAAACAAGCATAAGTCAACCAACCATTACCATGCGACGTACCCATACCATCTGCATCAGGTGACAAACAGGCGTTGGCCCAAACATGCATGAATAACCACCGTGCAGGCGCCGTCACTTGTTACGCGCAAACCACAAGGATACGCGCACGTTGCGCGTTTTTACCAGACAACGATAGAAGAACGGAAAGTGCGGCCCCGGCCTTGAAGAAAAACGAGGGCGGGAACGAGGGGCAGGAGAAAAACTGACAAGGGAGCTTACAAGCTAGCGCGGCAGCAGCACGGATACGGTGGAAAGAGGGAAGAGGACGACGACGTGAGAGGCGGCATGAGAAAGGAGGGCGGCGTTTGTCAATGGGCGTACTGGACAAACGGCGCTGCGCATACCATCTCGCCCCGGAGGTCCAAAGAAACAGCTGCTCATAGCTAGTACAGGATGCGTGCGAAGCCTAGCTCGCCCGCCAGCATCCCGGCCTCATTCCTGCACCATTCAGTGCGGGAGCTAAAAGCCCGCAGGCGCCCCGCCACGTCTGCACAGGGGAGCGCAAAAGAAGATCCAGGCCAAAACCGCGTATCACCAGCACGTTATCCACCGCCGACACCCCGGAGAGCATCGCGCAGGAGATGAAGCCAGAGGGCGTCCAGGTCCTCCGCGTCCTTGCGCTCAACGTCAACGATGACTCCGCGGTGCATGGCCCCGTGGACGTCACTCCGCTGGATCCCCAGCGGCCCTCGAAAGCGGCGACCGTTTCGCAGATCGAGGCCCCCCAGGGATGGCGGGGTCTAAGATGGGTTTGCCTCTGTCGTCAGTCGCTGGGTCCCCCAGCAGCCGTCGAATGTGGCGACAGTTAAGCAGATTGCAACCCCGAGGTTTAATGTAGATCCGCGTATAACGTCAGTCCGCTGGACCCCCCAGCAGCCCTCGAAAGCTACGTACTTAAGCGCTGAAGATCGCACAACCCCAATGATGGCGAGGTCGAACTTGGATCCGCGTGCGACATCACTCCGCTGGACCCCCCCAGCAGCCCTAGAAAGTGGCGACAGCTTCGCAAATCGCAGCCCACCAGGGATGGCGAGGTCTACTTTAAGTCTGCGTATGACGCCACTCCGATGGACCCCCCTTATCAGCCCTCGAAAGTGGCGACAGTCTCGCAGATCGCAGCCCACCAAAGATGGCGAAGTCGAACTGACATCCGCGTATGGCGTCACTCCGCTGGACCCCCCAGCAGCCTCGAAAGAGGCGACAGTTTGGCAATCGCAGTCCCCCAGGGATGGCGAGGTCGAATTCAAATCCACGTGTGGCGTCACTCCGCGGACCCCCCAGCAGCCCTCGAAAGTGGCGACAGCTTCGCAATTCGCAGGCCCCCAAAGATGGCCAAGTCGAACTGACATCCGCGTATGACGTCACTCCGCTGGACCCCCAGCAGCCTCGAAAGAGGCGACAGTTTGGCAGGTCGCAGGCCCCCGAAGATGACGAGGAGGCAGGGTAGCAGGCAGATCAGATGCAGGGCAGAACGCAGGTAGGAGACAGGGTACCGGGTAGGCAAAAGGGAGGCAAGAGGAGGCAGGGGAGGGGGTAGAGTAGGAGGAGGAGGACGAGGAGGAGGAGAAGGAGGAGGAGGTGTGCGACCACAGTGTTCCATTCAAGACGAGAACCCAACGCACGAGGACTGGGGAAAAAACAAAGAATCAGCAACACGAACAATCAGGTGAAGACTCGGCCTTTTGTTCGTTGCAAGCGTGCCACTCAACATGTCCGCTGGCCCCCTTGCGGAGCCATCAGGCTGCGAGGCTTAGGTTTGCTGCTCCCTGCGCCAATTCCAATTTCCAGTTAATTCCGATGTTCCAATATTGCTCTCTGCTTCTTGCTGTAAAGTGTTACTGTCCGCGCGAGGGGGGGGAGGGGGGGAAGGGGGGGAAGGGGGGAAGGGGGGGGGGGGGGGGCGAAAATAACCTTTTGTAGCAACCCCCGAATCGCGTGCTCTGAATTTCTGGGGGGCACTGGGACACGCAAAATCGCTCCCGACGCACTAACCCCTTATGCATTTCTCTGTGTACGCGCCCCCGAAGCCAAGATCTCTTTGCAAATCCGAAGCCACGATACCTTCTAAATACACCATACTCGCGCTCCGGAGGCCACAATACCTTGTCAATGACGTCACGTGCTCGCCCCTGGGGCCACGATCCCTTGAACATTACGCCACGGTCGCGCCCCCGAGGCTACGATCCCCCGCAAATTACGCCACACTCGCGCCCCCGAGCCCACGATCTTTCAGAAAATACACCACGCTCGCGTTCCCGAGGCCACGGTCCCGCGCACGTGAAGCAACACTCGCCCCCGAGGCCCCAGTAGCCCCCAGGAGGCCCCAAGAGGCCGCCAGAAAGCTCCAAAATGCCCCAAGAGGCGCCCAAGAGGCGCCCCAGAGGCCCCCAAGAAACCCAAAAGATACCCCACGAGGCCCCAAGAGGCCCACGAGAGGCGCCCAAACCGCCTCCAAGAGGCCCCCCAAAGGCTCCCCACGACACCCCAACACATGTACAAGAGGCCTCAGCCCACAACCCAGGCACGGTGTGACAGGACGGGCCGAAGGCCACTAGGATAACGCCAACGTTTCAATATGCGCTGACTCCTATCCGCCACCGCATGCTGTTCCCAGATGCGCCAAGGCAGCGCCGAGACGCACCGACGCGATTCTGCGATATTCCATTATCTAGAGAGGGGGGAGGGCCGGCGGCAAGGGGCGAAGCCCTTACGGATATACGCTACACCTTCGACACCCAAGCATCGTCGATCGTACCCCCCTTTGGAAAGTATGATTTCCTTGCCTGCCGCGCGTAGTTGCCGCGGCCCCTGAGGTAGTTTGGTAAGGAAGAGGGAGCATGAAAAGGCCCATCCTTCCCCATCGGCGCCCCCTCCTCCGCTCCTTTTCCTTATAAGCAAATTATCCCTGTTGCACCTCGCGGCGCGTGGGTAGGGCAGCCTGGGCGTTCGCGAGACCTCTTCACAATTCCTTTTGCTACTCGAACGGAACGCTCATGACCACTTCAACAGCTCTGAATCAGGATCGCCCGTTTGGGCGACGGAGCGCGACAAAGTCGCGCGGAAAAAAGAGTCGTCGCTAATCTACGCGCCTGGATCAATCAGGGATTTCGTACCGTGGGACGGCTGCTTTCCGACCTGCAATTGGCGAGCTGGCCCGCGCAAACAGCGCCAGAGAGAATGTGCGGGCGAGTAGATTTATGCAATCCCAGTGGCCCCGATGGGGAAAAAAACGCCAGGCCGCCCAGGGAGAGAGGACAAATGCGTTGCGCGCAATCCCGATGGCTGGACCGCCACTTATATAACGCACAACACGCGAGCCAGGCGCATCGCCAAGTGAAGCGATAAAGCGCGATCGCTCCGGACTCGGGCCCAGAGGAGAAGAGGAGGGGTGGAGAGGCGGATGAGAGGCGAAGAAGGCATGGAAACCACACTGCCCCCATCTGTGCGGCCAACTAGATCGTATCAACTGGTCTGTGCTATACATGACAGCAGGCTGACCAAGGAGAACCCCGGCGGCTGATGGACAAGTGGCTGAGCCTGTGGTGGCAGTACCTGTAGAGGTAGCCGTCCCCGATGAGAATGGAGGCCGATGGGCGCATGAAGACGGGCACACGTCTACCAGCATTGCCAATCGCCTGTCTGCGCAACGGTCCGCTCCGGGGCGTGCACCTAACTCGGGAGCGGTGGCCGGAGGATTCGTAGATGGAGGGGTAGACGGAGGAGTCGATGCTGACGCAGTTGGGAGTGGGTGGCGTAGATGGTGGCGCAGTCGGTGGAGTAGATGGTGGTGCGGTCGGGGATGTAGTCGATGGGGTCGGTTGATGTGGCAGTCGATGGAGTCTGGTTCAACTTTATTGCGTCGGTCGGTTGTCGCGGGTCGGCTGTGATTCGAGTTTGTTGCGTCGGCCAGTTGCGATTATGACCCTCAATATGAAAATTGGCAGGAGCTTCACGGATGGAGAGCGGGCCGTTTTCAAGATGTGGCTCTCGTCGCAGCGCCGCGCACGGTCGTGCCAAAAAGCGGAAGAGATTCACGGATGGGGGCCGGGCCGTTTTTAAAATGTGGCTCTCGCAAGAACGCTGCGCACAATCGCGTTAAACGCGTGCAGCGACTTCACGGACGGAGGGCGGTTCTTTTTCAGCATTTGGCTCTCGTCTTCGCGACACGCACACCCGTGTTAAAAATGCGGCTTCATTTCAAAATGAACCTCTCGCCTCAGCGCCGTGCACATTCGTCTTAACAAATTTTAACGGCTTCACGGATGGAGGGCAGATCCTTTTCAAAATGTGGCTCTGGGTTTAGTGCCGCGCACATTCTCCGTAACAAATTGCAAGAGCTTCACGGATGGAGGGTGGCTCCTTTTCAACATGTGGCTCTCGCCTTGGCGCCGCGCACATGCGCATTATGAGTTTACAGCAGTTTCAAAGATCCTCATGGTGAACGTCACATAAATTTCGTGCTGGCACGATGTCGGGCCGTCAGGGCGCAACAGTTACAGTGGTTCGCGTCGTTGCAGATCCTCAAGACGCAACAGAAGCGATGATCGCGGCTTCGAGGTCCCATGGATGGTTTTCTCGCGCAGCTCAGGTGTTTCAAGTGGTTGTCTTCCAACGGGGCGCTTCCCTCAGTGAAGATGAAGCCTTATGAGGGGCCTATGGCCTATGAGCGGGGAACTTGGAGGGAGTGTTTTTCGCAGCATCGTTAATGGATCTTGGCCTGACACTGGTCCTCCTTCTCCTCCTCCTCCTCCTCCTCCTCCTCCTCCTCCTCCTCCTCCTCCTCCTCCTCCTCCTCCTCCTCCTCCTCCTCCGCATCATCATCCTTGATTTCCTATTCCTCCTCCTCCTCCTCCATCCTCCTCCTCCCCCTCCTCCTCCTCCTCCTCTTCTTCCTCTCCTTCTCCTTCCTCCTCCTCCTCCTCCTCCGTAGCCAATTTGGCTCAAGATGTTTTCCTGGGGGGCTGTTCAGCCTCCGGGCGAAAAAGAAACCGCTGGACCGCGGCTTGCTTCCTGCAAATTTCGGGCTCATTGTGAGCCTTCATCCGTGACTGTTCGCCCAGGTGCGGGTGGCCTAATCTGTGTGAGCTCCTGGTGGAGCAGCATCTTGTGCCAGCTACGGCGTGGAAGTATGACACACGGTGGTACGACGCTAAGCAGAAGGGGAATTCTTGATCACGGTGGAACGGAAAAGGCGGACGCCGTCGGCGCGACACCTGCTCCGTCTGCTCGGCATGCGGTCATTGGGAGTTCGACCGCCACGGAAACCGGTCCTGCAGCAAGTGTGGCGGCAGGTACGGTTGTGATCTTCCGCCTCATGCCGATGGTCTCCCTCAGCCTGATGATTGGGCTGCCCTCGCTGCCCATCTTCAATAATTGTCTGGGCGGTTCCCCTCCATGGCCCAGGTGCTCACGGCAGCCGGGGCCCAGGCCTCCGATGTCCCTGCGGTCACCGTTGACGATCCAGGGATCTTGTGGCCGTGATTTTCTCTTCGTCACTCCTGGCTATCCGTACGTGTAGCATTTGTGCTCAATGTGCCGCGGTGGTGCAAAATATATGAGTCACATCACTTACTTGTAACTACAGCTACTTCGACATTGGTAGAGCGGAGCGTGTTTTCTCTTTCTGTGCGCGAGGTGTGCACATCGGTTTCATTCTCATCGGAGTGGTGACGCCTCTGATCTACAACTACCAGCAGAGCGCGGAGTTCTGCAACTCTCTTCGTCGGCGTGGCCGACTCCGACAATCAGAATGGCGCCGTCAGGAGGTTCTCGGGCGAGAAGCCCACCGAGTACAAGGCATGGGGGAAGTGGGCGAGAGCATGGATCAAGTCCAAGAATATCAATGAGGATGCTCGAGGCTCAGCACTGGTCACTCTCCTGACGGGGGCGGCCTTCAGGGCCATCGAGGACGTCGAGGACGACCTCATCGAGCAGGCTGGCGGAGATGATGTGATCTTTGCCATCCTTGACGACAGGTACCCCGACCTCCCAGCCTCAGACCGGCTCGGCGAGGTGATGCGTGCCTGTCTGAGGCTCAAGACCCACAAGCATGAGGAGGCCAACGCATACACTGCCCAAGCCAGGGCCATCTTCGCTGATGCCGAGCGCGAAGGTATCGTCTTGCCAGAGATCGCGCGCGGCATCATGCTTCTCGGGGGTTGCCACCTGGACTCAGAGAAGGAGGCGGTCGTCATGGCCGCAGCCCACGGCTCCTGGCGGGAGCCCGACGTCGCGAGAGCTCTGAGGACCACGTATCGGGCAGGCCTTGGGAAGATGGCCATGGGCGGTCAGAGTCACCACAAGGCCTTCGTGGCTGAGTAGGAGCTCGACGGCGACGAGACCATCGAGGATGACGACGGCGACCCGGAGTGCGACGCACTGTTGGCCGACCACGGAGTACATGATGATGCCGACCCACCTGTTGATGAGCGGGATCTCATCGACGCCTTGATCTCATGGAAGGAGCAGCGGAAGCTACACGGAAAGGTCAAGCTGGGTCGAGGTTTCGTGAAACCGAACCTGGAGGCGTATCGTCCAAGAGTAAGGTGCCACAATTGTAAGAAGATCGGCCACTTTCAGAAGGACTGCAAGGAGCCTCGCAAATCCACGGCAGGTACGAGCTCTACCGAATCGGTGAAGAGTCAATTTTTTTCACAGAATGTTTCTATAATGTACCGACGCCCGTCAAGCCCCTCGGGAGCATGACGTTCGACGAGATTCTCAGTGCGACGATCCAGAAGACCCGTTTTCACTAGGGCCGGATCGGAGCCCTGAGATCAAAAGGGATGTTTTTTTCTCTCGTCGACGCCAGGCCATGCGATCCTTGACCTTGGATGCGCCAAGGGTATGGTGGGCACGGAGATCTTCGAGCAGCACTGCCGACGACTCCGACGGGATCATGAACTACAGCCAGTACATCTACCCGATGCCCCGCAGGTATCCTTTCGCTTCGGCAATGATGGCAGCCAGTCGTCAGTGGGCGAGGTGCTGCTGCCGAGTGGAATCCTGGGCAGGAACGCGGTCACGAAGTGGTCTTTGGTGCCAGGATCGGCACCCTTCCTCATGTCCAAGCAGCAGATCAAGGCCATGAAGTCCCAGATTAACACCACCAGGGACACAGTTACCATTGCCGATCTGCCGGAGTGTACACTTCCCACAAGTGCTGGTGGCCACTACGTTCTTTCCTTGACCGAGTTTGACCCCAAGGGTTTCCGTGACAACTTGGACCCGATGATCAGCGACCCCGAGGTCACCATCTACATGACGGTCGCCGCGACGGAGAAGCAGCCAAACGTGATCCCCGCTCCCGAGGGGTCGGCGGGCGACATCGAGGACATGACCATGTGCGACAGGGCTGGAGGTCCACCACCTACACTTCCAAGGGAAGCTGAAGATGCTGCTCGCATCATTCTCGGCGACAACCATGATCGGTGCCTGGCGACGATAGCACCAGCGAATCTCGACCTTCTGCCAGCTGACCGGCAGGAGCGTGCCGAGCACCGTGTCGAGTCTACTGCAGATGCCGAGGATGACGCTGGTATCTCCGAGGACCTGATCGACGAGCTCGCGGAGGCCTATCCTCCATCGGGCGATGCCACTGGCGAGCTCACCCGCCGACAGCGACGACGATTGGTGAAGGACATCGCCGCGGTCACCGCGCAGCTGCGGCGCGCGGTACTCTTCGAGTTGTTCAGTCCTGAGCGAGTGTGTTCGAAGGCCGAACTCAAGGGTCTGGGCCCAACAAAGGCCCTGGACCTGACCACCGGCTGGGACCTCCTGCGTGCAGATCACCGTCGAGAAATGCGGCGACAACTGGCTGAAGATCAACCTGAGTGGGTTGGCATGTCGCCACCCTGTACGTTGTTTAGCATCCTGCAGTACATGAATAAGCAGAGAGATACTGCCGAATATCAGCGACGTTTGGCAAGCGCTCGGCTCCTACTTCGACTGTGCGTTCAGGTTGCCGAGTACCAACTGGCTCACGACCGTCACTTCTATATCGAGCAGCCGCAGTCGGCGCAGTCGTGGAACGAGCCTGCGATGATCAGACTAAGGCGCCAGGACCATGTGTATGAGGCAGTTGGCCACGGTTGTCAATATGGTTATCATGACGCGATCAGTGGCAAGCCCTATCGCAAGGCCTTCAGGTTCGTCACTTCGAGCCCGGTGTCGGCTCAGGCTCTGTCTCGACGTTGCCCAGGCGACCATCACCACGAGATGATTCAAGGAGGAGCTGGAGGTGAACGAGGGAGCGCAGCTTCTCAGCGCTATCCCCCCGCACTGGTCAGGGCCATCGTGAGTGGAATGTCCAAGGAGTCGTCAGCTCTGGTTTCCGAGGTGGAGGTCGAGGAGTCGCTGCAGGCGAGGGCCGTGCTCTGGCAGGGTTTGGTCGAGGTCCACACCCACGAATCTCTCACGACGGAGGTGTTTGCCGCGTCCAAGAGGCGCAAGAAGGCTGATCAGGACGTGGAGGAGCCGCCAGAGTCCCAAGCTGAAGCTCGAGATCGACGACGGAAGCTGGAGACGGCGGTCCGCAAGATCCATGTCAATCTTGGCCATCCTGTAATTGGGGACCTGATCCGCATCCTCAAGCATGGCAACGCGACTGAGGAGGCCATCGCCATCGCGCGAGATTTCAAGTGTGACGTATGCGAATAGAACCGAGCTCCCAAGTTGCCACGGCCAGCGACGGTTCCCAGAGACATTCAGGTGTTGTCCGAGGTAGGCTTCGACGTCAAGGAGCTGCCGTACTACGTCTCTGGGAAGACTTGGGCCGCTTTGAACGTCGTGGACGGCGCCAGCTCTCTCCAACAGATGATGCCGCTGGCGGGTAACGAGGAGAACGGTGAGACTCTCAGGAGGGCCTGGGACGTGGGCTGGCGAAGGCCGTACGGAGCACCGGTCAGGGCCAAGTGTGACTCGGCTCGGGCCAACACCGGTGCCATCATGTCCGAGGTGCTGGAGTACGACGGAGTGGACTTTGACGTCATCCCAGGAGAAGCTCACTGGTTACTCGGAAAGGCTGAAAGACATGGCTCGTGTTTCGCCAACATACTGAGCAAGGTGATCGAGACTGTCCAGCCGAAGAACCATCAGGAGTGGGAGCAATGCGTCAGCACAGTCTGCGATCAGAAGAACCGCCTCTTGAGGAAGCATGGGCACAGTCCATACCAACATGTGTTCGGGCGTGATCCACCTCTCCCGGCCGACCTTCTCAAGGATTCACCTGACATTGTTGCGAACAGCTTGTCACTGCACAGCGACGTCTACCAGCGGGCTACGGCTGTTCGGACTGCCGCCCGCATGGCTGTCCTGATGTACAGTGACGATGAGGCCATGAGAACAGCTCTGGACGCTCGACCTCGCCCCCTCCGAGAGTTTCGAGCAGGTGATCGGGTAGCCTATTGGCGGCGAGGTCGAGGCAAGGGCCGGCGGAAGGACGGCAAGAATAATGCACGTTGGCATGGGAGGGCTACGGTCCTTGGCCAGGAAAATGGTCACTATTGGTTATCACACGCAGGTACCCTGGTTCGAGCAGCTCCCGAACACCTTCGACATGCTACCCGAGAAGAGGAGTGGGCAGACTGGCATGTGCGTCAAGAGTTCAGGGCTGCTCAAGAGAAGTTCAAAGGAAAGCAAGGCAACTCGGTCTACGTGGATCTGCCTGCTGAGAACCAAGGACAGGCACCGGCTCCATCTGGCGACGGTCGTATCATCGTGCTGCCGGCGCCTCTGCCTGTCGGTCCTGAGCCTGCTCTACCTCCCGGGCCCGCTCTATCTGAGGACCGACCCCTACCTGACGCTGGATCGACTGACAATGTGTTGGCTCCAGCTCCTGGGGACACCAGCCTCGAGGTGGACCAAGCCGCCAAGGGAAAGATCGTCGAGCTGCAGGACCCGAGCCTAGTCGCCCGACGCGTGTTCGACATCGAGGGCAAGCCCTTGAAACGCCTGAGGGAGAAGACAGCAGTCCCGACTGAGGGTCTCACATCATCGGCGGCATCTGGTCAAACTATCACTACTGCTGTGCAGCCTGCCGTCGAGGAACCTCCGACTCGGCCAGCTGATGCTCGGCAGGCGCTCCTGGACTCCGATCCAGAGCACGACGAGCTAGTGGCAGAGGCTGAGACGGAGGGTCAGGACGTGATCATCCCTGCTGATGTCTGCCTGACCTCCATGGCGCGCACCGGCGAGCCCTGCTACGAGGCATTGCTGGCGAAGGGTCGCAAGGAGATCACCGAGAAGCTCCGTCCCGACCTCATCGAGGAGATCCTGAACGCCAAGATGACAGAGTGGCAGACCGTGGACCAGGAGAAGCATGCCGTACGTGTGTGCAGCTTGAAGGAGTCAGGTGAGATCAAGCGCACCCGACCCGATTTGCTCGTTGACACACGTTTCGTCCTGACTATCAAGCACGACCCCGACGGCAAGGAGTTGGTAAAGGCCCGTTGGGTTGCCAGAGGTTTCAAGGACCCGGACGCTCTCAAGCTCGTCTACTGGAACCAGACGGCCGCACCTACGGTATCGCAGAACGCTCGCATGCTGACACTTCAGCTGGCTGCATCGCATCAATGGCGACTTCAGATCGGAGACATCCGGGGCGCCTTCATGGAGAGCGACCCACTACAACGACCAGATGGACCACTCTACGCGAAGCAACCACCTGCCGGTCTTCCTGGTCTTCATCCTGATCAGGTGGTGGAGCTTGTGCTACCTCTGTATGGCTTGGATGACGCCCCTTGCCGCTGGTACTCGAAGATATCAGGTTGGCTTACAGATCAGACGGCTCACGAGGGCAGACCGTGGACGAAGTCACGCTTGGCCCCTTCCTTCGTGATGCTCAATGTAAGCTTTGTGGTATTCTTGTGGTCCATGTTGACGATGTGTTGATCGCGGGTAAAGGCGTTTATTTCCATGAGGCGGTGCAGAGATTGAAGGGGAAGTTCCCTTTCCGAAAGTGGGCTATCGGTGAGGGTGAGTACTGTGGCAGTGTTCTCCACCAGGATCCGAAGACGTTTGACATCTCCATCCGCCAGACCACGCCTTACCAGGAGCTCAAGCCAGTGACAGTTCGACGACGGGTCGCGGACCATGAACCAGCTACCGAAGCGGAAGTTGCAGGACTTCGACGCTTACTTGGTCAAGGAGGCTGGCTCTGCAGTCAGACACGACCAGACACCAGTGTGCAGGTCTCTCAGGGACAACAAGTGCTGCCTCGACCGACTGTGGGTCAAATCAGACGGACCAATGCACTTGCACGACGGCTACTTCAACATAAGGATATGATACTAAACGTGAAGAGCATCCCACCTCAGGAGCTGTGTATCATCATGCACAGTGACGCATCCTTCCTGAACGCTGCCAAGAACGGAACTCAGGCTGGGTACATTTTGGCCTTCACGACTCGCGCGATGGCGGAGGGCAAGAAGTCACCCTGGAGTCCGGCAGCCTGGCGCTCGTACCGTCTCAAACGTGTGGTGGGTTCTACCTTGGCAGGTGAGACACAGGCTCTGTCTGATGGCATTGGTCACCTCGAATGGTTGTTGTGCCATCTGGCCGAGGCCCTCTACGCGGATTTTGACATCAAGACGCGCGAACGCTGGCTAGGTCGACATCCCTGCCTGGCAGTGACCGACTGCAAGAGCGTGTATGACCACATCACTGGCGCTTCATCGCCATCCACAGTAGGAGATCGCAGAGTTGCCGTGGACATGGTCATCGTTCGAGAAGGTTTGGCTCGATCCACAACAACACTGAGGTGGGCACCCACCGACCGCCAGCTGGCGGACGGGTTGACGAAAGACACTGCTGAGACCTGTGACTTGCTCAGGGGTGTCATCAGGACCGGATGCTACCAGATCTCCGAGGAGAGTCTCGTGCTGGACTTGGCCAAGACGGAGCGGGAGCAGAGGAAGGTCATCAAGAAGTGACATCACCGCAGAGGGGACTGAGCTGTTCTGGGTCGTGTGTAGTTTTTTGTTCTCGTGTTTCAAAGATACCCGCATGTGCGTTTTGGCCTGTTGGTGGAAAAAGGGGTTGCGACGAGTGCGTCTGCTCTATGGGGGCAACCAACACCGATGCCAAGCACGTCTCTTATGTAGCTTGTGGCTCAAGCATTTCTTTTTGAGGCACTTCGTGTACGACCTACTGCACGGTGCTCAGAGATGGTGCACTTTGTGGTGACTGGCGATCACGACACGTGTCGCACGTTCTTGAACACCTTAGGTTGTGTCCACCGCTGGGCCAGTGGTCCACAACAAGTCATCCACCAAGGCCAAGGTCAATGCGAGTGTCTTGCTGGGTTCCAAGTACGACAATCAGAAGATCGGCCTGACCTACACACTGACGACCAAGCGTGTGCAGATCACCGGGCCCGCAGCTATCATCGATGCGGCCGAGATTATACTGGTCGATCTGGAGAATCGTTTCACCAACTTCATCGCATCAGGAGACGACAGTGAGTTTGCTGGTGCCCCTCCTGCTGCTTCTATTGCCATTGAAGCGCTGAAGGTATGGGCCGCTCATGACTACGAGGAGCCCACTACAGCAGAGGAGGCTTTGGAGCAGGTCAAGAAGCAGGAAAAGGACAGTCCTGACAGTCATGGGTTTCAGCATGTGACGGCGTCAGGTTGGACGTCCCGTCGTTTAGCTTTATCCTCCGAGCAGGAGGTCATCATCGGAGAGATCCTGCAGGAGTCTCGCAGCAAGCTCGAGTGTCACCCGGAGCTGTACAATCGCCCCTCGTCTATTTTGATCCATGAATTCACGAATTCCATCGAGGATGGTTTTGAGACGGCACCGCTGCCGCCCTGCAAGCCCGACGTGAGCATGGGAGAGGACAAGGCTGGGAAGTCCAAGCTTTGAGAATACGCTGAGCATGCAGCTGCTCGTGAATGACGACCAGGCGGGCAGCCCCGCCCTGCAGTTGTCCCCTTTCCTGTTCCCTTTCTTCCTCCTTCCTCTCTCCCCCGTGTGCTGTCAGCGTGCTCGACGATTTTGCCCGATAGCTCAGGAGACTTTAACGAACATTTAAGTTTTGGGAATGACGATCCAGGGATCTTGTGGCCGTGATTTTCTCTTCGTCACTCCTGGCTATCCGTACGTGTAGCATTTGTGCTCAATGTGCCGCGGTGGTGCAAAATAGGTGAGTCACATCACTTACTTGTAACTACAGTTACTTCGACAACCGTGGCCGAGCCTCGCCCGCCTGCGACGGCCAGCGAGATGGACAAGACGGTGGCCGCTCGGCGCACTGATCTGTCGAAGGAGACCGGGGCAACGTCGAAGAAGGAGCGCATCTGCCAGTCCGAGGTCGAGAATCGGCTGGCCACTGTGTTGCGGCGTCGCGAGGCCCTGGAGCAGGCTCAGCGGGCCCACGTCGAGTCGGTGGAGCAGCTCACGGAGGCAAAGGCGCGCTCTGCTGAGGCGCTGGCCACGAAGGACGGCTTCAACGATGGGGCCTGCCGCGCTGCGCTTCGTGAGAAGGAGCGCGCCGAGGCTGCCGCGGCGGCCCGTGCAGCGGCGAAGGCCCGTGCTGCTGCCCCTCCTGGCCAGGCGGGCTGGCGCCCCCGCCTGGCGGTCCCCCCGCGCCCGTCCTGGCGCCGGCCACGGGGACCCAGGAACGCGTGCGGCGGGCGGCGGCATCGACTGGAGTTGGATCCAGGAGCACCTCCACGAGGTCTCTGAAGGCCTTGCTACTTTCCACGGTCGCCCCCACCTCTCCCCCGAACAGTGGAGGGAGATGCGGAAGGTGGCCATTCAGCAGCGTGCCGAGATGGAGACGGAGGCCGAAATGGCTTCCGATGCTGGCGGCGGTCCTGGCGATCGCCATCCTCCTGAAGGTGAGCTTGGTGAGCTGCGTGAACTTCGCAAACGCGCAGCAAAAGCAGGACTCGATGGCCCCGCCTCCGTGCGCTACGGCGAGTTCGTCAGCAAGCAGCCTATGCAGCGCGCCACGAAGAAGGCCAGGAGGATTGTGCAGCATCAGAGCTCCCACACGTTTGTCGCTTTTTGTCAGGCGGCGGTCGTCCAGCTCGGTGCGATCCCTGAGGCGCCAGCAAGTGGAGCAGTGCAGGCGCCTCAGCAGCATGTTTAGCAGCCTGCCGAATGCAAGCCGCCACGCGCGTGATCGGTCTCGTTCGTCCGATCTCGAGTTCCTGTTCGCGAATGTCACGAGCCGGTCCAATAGTACAGAGGAATTTATTGCCACTCGTGTCTCGGAGGCGGACGCTGTGTTCGTCGCCGAGCATCATCTCCGTGCTGCGGGTGTGGCTAAGGCTAAGAAGGACGTGAGGGTGATGGGCTGGGACCCGTATGTTCAAGATGCTGTTGACTCTCCAGGTGGTGGCACACTTGGCGGGGGTAGCTTGCTTTGGGCAGAACGGTTTATGTTTCCAGCGTTTCTTGGGCGTGGTCTCCCGAGTGGTCCAGGCTGGCTCTGGCAATTGTTGATATTTCCTGAACTTACGCTGCATGTTTACTCGATGGCCGTGGGCGTCGTCTACTTGGTGGCCTCGCTGGGGGCCGTGGGTGAGAACCTTGTTCGCTTGAAGCAAATCTCGGACTTCGTGAATTGCCGGAGTATCCCCTGGGCCCTCCACGGGAACTTCAATATGCATCCTGGTTTCTTGTGCGAGTCTGGTTACTTGGGCCTTACACGGTCTCGTGCTGTTGTCCCTGGTACTAGTGGATTGTAGTGTAGTGCGTATCACCATGATTGATTACTCTCTGTGTTCGTCTGGCTTGGCCCCATACGTGTGTGCGGGCTATCCCTGATTCGCCTTTCAAGACACATGCATGCTTGCACGTTCGCATTCCTGCTGATGGGGCTACCCAGGAAGTCTGTCGTCGTTCTCGTGCTGCGTTGCCGAAGGCTTTTGGTCCCGACCATCAGTGGCCGCATTATCTTGACATGACACCCCGTACTTGTGCTTCTGGTCCATGGTCTACTCTCGGCTGCACGAGTACTGGCGGACTGTTAGGCGCGGGAGCTGGTCGATGCATACCCAGCGTCTCCGCTCTTTCATCGTCTCCCAGGCCGGCAAAGTGTATTCTTATCTGGAGCCGCTCACGGATCTGCTGGATGCCCAGCACTGGCATGACGACCTCACTTCTGTCCGCTGCCGCTGGTGCGGCTCGAGAGTTGATTGATCGCACAGCTGATGTATACGCGACAGCTGTTTCTAAGGGTCGTGCTGCCAACATGTCAGGTGTTAAGAGGTGGCTCCAGACAGCCTTGCCTGACGAGGTCGTAGAGTCCACGCATGGCTGAAAGGCAGAAGATAAGCTCAGCGTCGAACATCTTGTTGTACCTGATGGGGGGCGAGTTGTACATCAGGAACAACTGAACGAAAGTTAGAACCTGGGGGAACGTGAACATGGAGGAAGAGGTCGACAAACAAGCCGTAAAAGTCGAACATCGGGACGGAGTCGCTCGGATGCCCTAGGCTCTCTTCAACACCTCGCAATCCTCTGCCATCTGCGCCATGGCAACGAGCCCCATGCGGCAGACGGCCACCTGGAGCTCCGCTCTGCGGGCCGCGGACGCGTGAGCCGGGAAAGTGATCCATCCCGTCTTCAGCGTCGCCCGCGGCTGGCGTGCCCACCAGCCAGGTGGGATGTGGTACGCGTCGTTCAGCTCCTGCCGGAAACCCGCCAGGGCGGCGCACTCGGCCACGTAGTGGCGCGCACTCGGTCGATGGGGACCCCCGCAGGACGGGCAAGCCGCCGTAAGATCGGGCCTGGTGGTGCTCTATCTTCTCGTCGGGATGTGTGTCGCCCCGCAGCGAAAGATCTTCAAGTGGATCCTGTCCTCCAAGGTCAGCGAGTCCCGGAAAGTGGATCACGCTCGTGCCGAGGAGGCTTCAAGGTCGATCTGGTCGACCCCCTCCGAGTCGTGGCGAGACGCGGATGCGTGGGCAAGAGCTCTCGCCCGGCATACTTGGCGAAGGAGGTGCGGCACCATCTCTTCGTCGCTCCAGAAGATGTGTCTGCGCCCGCACAATCGGCGAACTCGGACATCAGGCTCGTCCACCGAGCGTCGGAACTGCACTCCGCGCTCTGGGTCGTGCTGCAGGAACTCGAAACCTATGGCATCGAAGAACGTCGTGAAACTCACCTCGAGGAATGTACTCCAGCGGAGGTCCCAGGTGGTGATGCGATCAATGGCCGTGAGCACCGCGCTGAAGATGGGGTGCAGGTCGATATTCGAGGCCCAGAGACGGCCTCGGCACCACCAAGTGCACCTCGTCGAAAGCACCGCTGACATCGCTGCTGGGACGACGTCGGGCGGTGGCAGAGAGAAAACCGGGGAACACCAAGTCCACAACGGTTTAGCGTAGGCCTGGACCGCCGTGGCCCTGGCTTCGCTGCCTCCCAGGAGGCCTCGGATGGCGTGCAAGCACTTGCGGAGCTTGGTCCAGCCCCCGGCAGGCGTAATCGGCTCATCCGGAGCATCAGGGACAGCGAGGATGCCGATGTGCTCGATCTGCGTCCTGCCCCCTCGCTTCCAGACCTGGCGCTTCCCGACGTTCTCGATGGCGCCCGTGCCTGAGTCGAAGGCGTTGGCGGCCTGCACGTCCGACTCCATCTGCGGGGCGGAGTCGAGGACGGCGGACCTGTCGTCCATGAAAAGGAACTTGGTGCCGTTGATCTCCCAGGGGGAAAGTACGCGGCACAGGACCTTCGGCGCCGTGCTGTCCCCTTGAGCGAGGCTGCGCGTAGGCCAGAGTGTCTCACTGGCCAGCTCTCCCGCCACCTGGCACCTCCGAGGGCCCCGCCAGGCAGCGTTAGTCACCGCCCGCACTCGGCGTGGCGTCTGGGCGTTGCGGAGCGCCGCGTCCGCCTCTGCATGGTGCACGTTGTCGTAGCACTTGGACAGGTCGCGCTCCAGTCCGCACGAGCCGTGCTGGCAGGCGTGCAGCCACAAGCAGCAGGCGTGGACCACCGTGGAGCCCGCTTTGCAGGCGAACTGAGCGTCCTGTGGCGTGGGCAGGCTGGGCTCGCAAGCTGTGAGCCAGGCCCTGAGGAGCACGGAGCCCACCCCTATAGGCCGGGACTGCGTCGGGTCTTTCTTTGACACCCCAACAACCCGCCAGGCGAAGAGGAGGTGCTGGAGCTCGGTGGTGGGCCTCTCGACCAGGAGGGTCTCGCAGGTGTCCCGCCATAGCGTGTAGAGTTCGAAGAGCAAGAACTCGAAATGCTCGGAGATAAGCTTGAGCTCGCTAGAGTGCCAACCGTCATAGCCTGCGCTGCCTTTGGCCTTGCGCACGGCGACCCGGAAGTCGGCGTAAGAGGGGTACCACTCCTCGTCGTAGGCATTGGCGGTCTTCGGCAAGGGCTCGTGCGCCTCCGCGGCGTACTGCTCCCACCTGGCCGCGCACCTCTGCTCGTCGTAGTTGGGGTCTGACGGGGCCCACGCTCGCTTCCACTCCTCCGCCATGTCCTCGGCATTGAAACTGGGACACTCGGAGGGCCCATGAACCTCTGCAGTGGCTGCCCTCCACGTGTCCGTCGTGAAGTGCTGGAAGAGGCGGCGCCACTCGGAGCGGCGATCTCTGAGCAGGCCCCGCTGGATCGCGGAGATGGCCTTCGAGATCTTGCCGCGTGCCTCTGCGTATGTCGGCCGGCCTTTCGGGCCAGCTGTCAACCGGCCCTGCATGGTCGCGGAGCTGGTGGGCAACGCGGCGACCAAGGCGTTTCAGGCGTACCAGCTCCATCGGCTCGGCGGGCCGCACCGCTGGAGTCGTGGCCACCCTGCGCGAGGTAGGGAGGGATCCCTTGGGGCGTTCAGCGGCCCCGTCTTGTGATGCCCACCCCTGGTGGGCAGCTGCCGTCAGTGCCCCCTCGGCCCGGGCGTGCCATCGCTCCCACCTCTCCGGGAGAGGGGCGGCGGCTGGGCAGGCCGGCAGGGTGGCATCCATGTGGCTCTGCAGCTCCTCGGTGTCGCTCGCCAGCAGGATGGTGCCCGGGTCGAGCGTGAACCGCGTAGCGCGGCGCATTCGCGTAGCCTGCGCCGACGGGGCGGCGACCTGCGCAGAGAAGATCACCAGCCCGTGATGAGGAATGAGCGGGAGGAAGGCGACGCTCTCAAGCTTCAGCTCGATGCCGGCCCCCACGGCTCGCGTGGGAGAGGTCCCTGCTAGGGTCGTAGGCGTAGTTGCGGCACACAGGACGGCGTGCGTCGGCAGCGCGTTGACGTAAGAGGGGCGCCAATTCAGGTCGCCAGCGATGCACCACGGCACCGGCGGAGTACCACGAGCCACGGTGGATGTGAAATTGACGACTTCCTCCATCCAGGGGCCGGAGCGCACTGCAGCTGGCCCATGCCTAGATGTGAAAACTCCCAGCTTGGTACGACTAGCAACTTCACGATGGGAAGCGGTTCGATGAACAGCAACACGCCCAAGAGATGGGCGCCAGAAAATGGCAGTGCCGCCCTGCTGAACGGCACGCTTGGCGTTCCTGGGTGGAGGCGTGGAGCACGCCACGCGCCGACCATACTTGAGCGCGAGTCTGGTGACCCACGCGGGCTTGGCGGAGGCTAGCCGGACCTCCTGAAGACATAAAGCATGTGCGTGGCGAAGTGCAGGAAACGTAAAGATCTCCTCCAAGCGGTCCGCCCGGAGGCTCGTGACGTTGAGGGTGGCAACCTGCAGCTCCGTCATCCCCTTCTCGCCTCCCCCGCCGTGCAGGCGGTCTACGGCAGGTGGGCGCATTCAGCGAGCCGCGGCGGGCCGCTTCTTGGCGATCTTCGCCGCGCGGCGCTCCTGGCTCAGGGGCTTCTGGAGGGCGATGTGCTTCTGGTCGGCGCGGTACTTCGCGAAGCGGATCTTGTCCTTCAGCTGCTTCGTCTTCCGCTGCTCGGGGTCGGCGTAGCGAATCTTGTAGAGCTCCTTCCGCCTGGTGGCGTAGGTCTTGGCAAACCGCTTGCGGCTTGCACTCTCCGCCTGGTGGACCCTGTTGGCGGCCTCCTCTCCGCGCGTCGCCGTGGGCATGGAGTGGCGCGTCATGGTGGCAGGCTGGGCCCTGCGTGGGAAGTACCTGAACTGGGTCAGGTGAGTATTTTTGCTGCATGTAGAACACGTGTAGTGGTGCTGGATGCCCCCGCCCTTGAGGACCTTGGAGGAAACCGCGCGCTCATCGGGGCTGCACGCACCCGGCTGGGCGCTCGCCGGCAAGGCCACCTCCCATTTCAAGCGCGCTGCAAAAAGCTTCGCGCGGCGGGCCTCGCGAAAGGCAGGCCGGGCCCAGAAGCTTGCTTGAATGGCGCGGCGGCTGACGCTGCCGGGCTGGTCTTTCGGCCTGGGGGGGGCGGCGCCCTGGCGCTCCCGCCAGTGGACGGTGGCCTTGTTGCACTGCCAGGCTGAGGCTTGGCCCCCCGAGAGGTGGGCAGGGGGGGCGGGTGGCGCCCACTGGCCGCAGGGGCACTTGAGGTAGTCGCCTTTGGCGTAGGCAACTGGCATCTCATCGTCTGGGTCGTCGGCGGGGATGCCAAGGATGCTTCGGGCTCCCCTGGAGGAGGCAGCCGCGGGGCGGCGCGTAGGGGCACGGCTGGCGGCTGCCGTGCTTGGAGGGGCGGGAATGCCCAGGATGGACATGGCCTCGGGGTCGAGACGCGGCGCCGGCGCGCGGCTTGAGGCGGCCCTTCTGGATGGGGCCGGAATGCCCAGGATGGACGCGGCGTCGGGATCTAGCGAGCGGCCCTTTCCCGGCAGGCCGCTGGTCGGGTAGCCCAAGGCCTTCTCGCGCCAGCAATCGAGGGTCTGGCGGTAGTCGGTCGTCTCCTGCTGGTCCGGCTTCGGCTGGAGCCACTCGTAGTGGTGGTCCTCCAAATTCAACCACAACTCTTTCTTCCGTAACTTACCTCCGCGCTCCCGGCCGTAGAGCACCCACTGCTCCGCGCCCGGCGCACGGGGCCGCGCGTAGATGTCGACGTTCAGCCGCTTTGCGAGCAGCCGGACTGCCAGGGAGGAGGCAGGCGTTCCTGTAGTGCCGATCTTGTCGGCGTCCGCCGTGGTCGCCTTGAAAGTCTTCTTGAGGGCCTCCTCCTGCGCAGCGAGGCGGAGATTGCCCTGGGGCCGGCCGCCGGGCTCGAAGTCGTCGGCGGTCGGGATGCTCTTGGACGGCGTGATGGCGGCCAGCCCCTCTGCGACGGCGATGTGCATGCAGTCCCCGCCGCCGCCACAGGCTCGGACGTTGAAAAACTCCGTGAAAGGCGGGGCGGACGGGCCAGCCGGGACTGGCTTGCCGTTCTCGCGGGCCCTTGGCGTGCTTGTTCGGGGGCGCCGCCTCGCGCGGGGCGGCCCCAGCTTTGCGAGCTCCGCCCGCCGCAGGGTCGCCCTCGGCGGCGGCGGCGGCGGCAGCGGCGCCCGAGGGGGCGTCCGCGGGGGCGGCGGCCCTCTCCTCGGCAGGCGGGGGGGCGACAGCGGCGTCGTACTGGGGCGAAGCCTTGGGAGCTCCCCAGCGTTGGCGGGCCTCCTTGCTGGTCGCCTGGCGGGCGGCCTTGGCGGGGGCGCCGTTCTTCGAGAAAGCCAGAGACACGACGGCTCCGGACTTGAAGGCGTGGACTGTGGCCACGACGCCCGCCGGCGTGTCCCCGAAGAAGGTCCGCGCACGGGCGCCTGCTCTGGCTGCGTTGGCGACGTTCTGGAAGCCGCGCTCCGTGGCCCAGGTGGTGAATTCTTGGGCAGTGACCATGTGCGCGGGTGCGTTCCGCACATGCCATTTGATGGCATCAGCCTCTCCAGGATGTACCCCAGCGGCGCCAGCGACTCCCAGTTGGGCTTTTCCGTGAGGGCGGTACAACATGTGGCCCTGCCGCTGCTGGGCAAGCTGGCAGACACGGTCGTAGTACTTGCGGGTGCCTTCCTCGTCCTCCTCGTCGGCCCTCCGGGAGAGCCATCGCGGGGCGACGGGGGCGTCCTGCTGCATGATGAAGGCACCTCTCGGTGGGACTGCTGTCCGAAAATCGGCAGCGTTGGCCTCGGTCGTCGAGACGATGCATGCGACCTCCGCGTCGCAGGCGATGGCACCTCGGGTGCGCAGCACGCGCTCCGCGAGGACGCCCCCGAGGACAAGGGCGGGGGTGGTCTGCGGCTCCGCAGAGGCGACGTGGAAGAAGGTCTCGTCGGCGAACTCCGCGGAGATCGTGATCCGAAAATTGACCAGCTTCAGCTTGGTGGCTGGGACGGGCTCGTCGCCCTTCATAGCCGCGTGGAGCCCAGCGCACCTCGGCGCGGACTCGCTGAGGTAGGTGATGTTGGCCTTGGCGGAGCGGGGGCCGCGCTGGCCCTCGAGGAGGACCGAGTCGGGGCCGTTGCTGTCCAAGACGACGTAAGTGATGTTCTGGCGGTTCCCGAGGGCCTTCCTCGCGCGCTCGCACTGCTCGTACTCCGCGCGGGTGGCCGCCAGGATCACCATGGGCTCGGTGGACTGCTCCAGGGAGGCCCGGACCGCGCTGGAAGTGACGATCTTGGCCTGTCCCCAGGGGTCCTGAAAAAGACGCGCCCTGACCTGGGGCGGCTCTTTCTCCTGGGGAGCCTCGGGCGCGTCCCGCGCCGAGGGCGATGCTCCCGGAGTGAAGGTCGAGATGGCCTCCCGGAGCTTGGAGAAGACCTGGGTCTGCGTGACGTTCACGCCGCCGTCCACGACGGACAGCAGGGAGCGCAGCTTGGCGACGATCGGGATGTCCTCCCTCTGCCGCCTCTGACGCCTAGGGCGCGTGGTGGTGGGCTTTGAAGGCCGCGCCTCGGCACGACCAGCCTTCGGCGCGGTGCGGGCGCCCATCTGCGCGCGCTGCAGCTCAGCGACGGCCGTCGCGAGGGCGATGAGCTGGTCCTGAATCTGGGACTTGTCGGCCCGGACCCGCTGCGAGGTCCTGCTGCCGCCTTTGCCGCGCCCTCCGTAGAGCGGGCCCCAAGAGTCATTCGCGTCGAAATCCTCGTGCCCGGCCGAGCCCATGGACGGGGAGAGGTTCGTGACTAAGAACTCGAGCGAATCGAGCGTGAAACTGGACTCGTACTCGGTCAAAACAAAGGCCGACTGGTGCGTCGCCGGCTCCACAGAGTAAGAATCGATGCATCCAATACTGCGTAGGTTGAAACCCTCGTTCTCGTCAAGGCCCAGGGACGAGAGGAGGTCCCCCAAAATCTCGATCGGCTCGAGCGTGAAACTGAACTCGTACATGTTCGCATCAGCGGCCAAGCGGTACCCCGGGCCCCACGGATAACACTCGAAAAGCTCGTCCGATGACATCCCCATAGAAGAAACAACGCCGTTCTCCCCCTCGATCGTCGCCACTCGGGCGCGTTTGCAGCATGGGGTCGGGTCGGCAGCGCGTCGGCTGCTGGCCCGAACCCGTTCGCGGTGCCACCTGGCCCAGCGGAACAGGACCAAGGACACCCCCGCCACCGCCAAGACCACCGGGAAGTAGTCAGGGGGCCGCTGCGTGGTGGCGTTGTACCTGATGGTATCCGACAGACGCCCAGCAGCATGATTGAGTACAGGAAGGATTTTTGGAGTGCCCTCTGGACCCACTTCGGACCATCTGAAGCTCCTGAATGAGACCCTGGATGAATTTCGGGCCGAAGCCCAGCAGGCGCTCCTGGAGGTCCCTGAGTTCATTCCCAGAGATGTTGTGCAGGCTGCTTTCCGATTTTCTGGAACGACGGCGGTTGGGGTTGATCAGTTGTCTCCGCGCAGTTTCCTGGTCCTGCTGGGCCAAACGTTGTTCTCCCTCGCTGCCATTTTCAACCAGTGCGAGGCGGTGATGGCCTTCCCGCAGCGATGTTACTTGAATGTCATGGCGCTGCTTCCGAAGTCAGAATGAGAGATGAGCGCGCTATTTCCAAGGGTTCGACGGTGTACCGTATGTGCGTGCGCCTGCGAGATGATGTGGACGCCTGGAGTGCAGCGCACACTGACTTCTGGGATCGCGCAGCATGGGCTCATCCGCCCTCCAGGCCGCTCTGCTTCGCGAGTGGTGCCACGAAGTAGCTGGCACCCTTGGGTTTGAGTCTGTTCCTTTTTTTTTCGTTGGGATTTGGAGGGGTTCGTCGACCTTGTCATTCCATCGCTGTTGGTTCAGCTCGCTCTTGAGATTGGCTACCCTCCTCACTTGCTCTACTTCGGCGTCATGTTCCATACCTGCCCTAGACTGCTCGAAGACGCTGGTAGGAGTTCTGATGGGATTTCAACGGGTCGCTCCATTTTGGCAGGGTGCGGACAGTCAATGCCATGGGTTAAAGCACACTTGCATGCTGTACTTGTTCGTCTTTTGTTGGGAGGAGGCGGGACAACGCCCACGCCAAACCATCGTCTATCTCGTGCTTGGGAGACTGAAAGCAACCCTGCCACAGGACCGTCATCGTCCTTAGGAAGCCAGATGGCGGCTGATACGAATTGCCCTCAGAACGCATCGGGCCGCAATTGCATATATTGCGTCGTTACCCCTACCACCTGGCCTAAACGGCCACTTCCGTTAACCCAACACAGTAGTAGGAGGGAAGGGGGAGAGAGGGGGGACACGATGTATTTGATCGTGCGCATCGGAGGTTGTCTGTTGTTCGAATTCGGTTCTTATGTCGAACATGTTGCTCAATATGTTCAGTGCTCTCGCCGTTATGTGGTCAGCTCCCTTCCTGGGGCAGCGGCGGCGTTTTTCAAGGACGTTCAGTCCCTTGGTGCATCATCTTGGCCAAGTCTGCAGCAGTTGCTTCCGCTGCTGATCTTGCTCGCGATTTAGGTGCAGCTTTTCGGTGCGAACGTGTTCCAGTGAAGTTCGCTGCCCAGGTAAAGGACTTAGGTGTGATGACGACGGCTGGTAAGCAACGGTGCACATGGAAAGTGAAGCTGCGACGACGTACTGCCTTCCGACGCTCACGTAAGCTCGCTTACATTGCCCGTATATGTGGTAAAGCTAAGAAGATATACAATCCTGGGTAACTCTCTGTGGGATTTTGGAGTCATTCCGTCGTCGGCCTCACCGTGGCTGACGTTCAGGGTGTCAGGTCCGAGGCGGCCCAATGCTCGGGCCATTGGAGTCCGGGAGCGTGCACGACCACGGTGTTGAGTATTGGTGATCAATTTGCTGACGATCCTGCTTTCCGTATGCGTAAGGAACAGCTTCGGGCTATTGCTGGTGTGTGGCATTTTCTGTCTCCTGGTCAGCGTTTGGGTGTGCAGAGGACCTGGACCAAGCAGCGTGATAGGCTTCTCTTGTTGGAGGAGCCCCATCGATGGCGCACTGTCCGTGGTCCCGTTGCTGCCACGATCTGCACTCTGCTCGATCTCGAATGGGGCCCTGACTCGATGACATCATGGTCTACGCCGGTGGGAGTGTTGAGCATTGAGGCTCGTGATTATCCCTTCCGCCTCACGATTGCTGTGCAGAGTACGTTGAATCCTATGTTGTGGGGTAAGGCGTCGAACCATTTTTGTGGCGATGGTCTTGAAGGGAATGTTAACCTTGCTGTCTTCAGGGATATGCATGCGAAGTTGGTTAAAGGTAAGATGCTGCCCTACTCTGCTGCATTGTTTCTGGCGCCACGTGGCCCGAGGCTCGGCTTCAGGATTCGGGGTACTTTACAAATGGCATGTGCCTTCGATGTGGCGTCACCCGTGAGACGACGCTACACCGTGTCAGGGGCTGCTCTTCCAAAGATCAGATTGACTCGGTCCACTTGCTCAAGTCCCGGGAGCTTGTCAAGACAGCCTTACAGAATGATCACGAACGTTCACCCTTTTGGGATAGAGGTATTCCCACTCTTGCTGCTGGTGTCGCTCCTATACCTCCACCGATTGATGCGAAACAGGCTTGGGGCCTTTTTCTCGGATGGACGTGCGGTACGAGGCGGCAGATTTGGACTTGACGGGTCAGGAGGGAAGTAGCTACAGATCTTCGTCTTCGTCGTTGTGGTTGGGCGGTCGTTCGGCTGGATGAGGCTAGCGTGGACGACTTTGAGTTTCGATGTGATGCTATTGAGGCGGGGACTCTCCCTACTCGGGCTCAGTCGAGCCCGCGCTCGGAGTTGGTTGCGCTGATGATGCTTCTTACTTGCACGACGGGCGACGCAATCGCGTATTATGACTATCTTCCTCTCATTCAGGGCCTTCGACGGGATCGATCTTGCGTGGCCAAATCATCCCCGATGCTGCACCTCTGGGTCCGAATCTGGGACCTCCTCGACGCTCGCGATGGCCGTGTTGAGGTGATCTGGATCAAAGCTCACTCAAGTCGTGGTGCCCGCGAGGCTTGGGGCATCTCTGAGGTGGAGTTCTTCCTGAATGTTTGTCATGATTTGTTCGCTGGAAGGCTGCCGTCTTAGGTGAGGTTCCTGAGGAGCATGCCCAGGTGTTGCACGAGGTCGATGACATGACCTTGCGCGTCTTGAATCGTCTTTCGGTTGTGACCCGAGAGGTCAGCGCAAGTCCCGCCGGCGCTTGCAGTCTGATCGCGTTGGTCGTCCCCCGCCCGCCCCGACCTCCTGCTGTCCCACCAAATTTCACGCGCAAGCAAAGACTAGCCGCTGCAGGTCGCGCTCCTCGGATGCATGGAACCCGTTTTGTATGCATGGGTTGTCGCCGTACGTTTGGGGCTACTCGCGGTAAGGTCTACAACTTCTGGCCGGGTAGATGTCTGGGGCGCGCGAGGTTAGACCGCAGGCTGGGCGCGAAGCTGTATTGTGCATCCTGCGACGAATGTCCTATTGCGAAGGCCCGCGCTGAAGGCAGGCCGTCCGTTGGCCCCACAAAGGCTGGTGCTAGCGTATTGTCTCGCCTCGCGCGAGGGTTGTCCCCGAAGAGTGGCATGTCTTTTCCCTCGCGGTGATTGCACGATGCGGGCACGCGAAATCCTCGTGGCTGGTTGCCGCCGCTCCGACTCCGTGACATACACTGGGCGGTTGTGCGGCACCGCTTGTAACGGAGACTGTGCCTCTTCGTGCCACGTGCAGAGTCCTTGCCAGATCAGGGGTGCTCATATGGTCCAAACCAGACCCTCCTCCTCCTCCTCTTCCTCCTCCTCCGCCTCCTCCTCCTCCTCCTCCGTCTGCTCCTCCTCCTCCTCCTCCTCCTCCGCCTCCTCCTCCTCCTCCTCCTCCTCCTCCTCCTCCTCCTCCTCCTCCTCCTCCTCCTCCTCCTCCCCCTCCCGGTTCGCCACATCCTCGCCGCATCTTCCCCCCCACAGGTCCCGCAGTGTCGGCTGCTTCATGCTCTGCAGCGCGCGGATGCCCAGGGTGACCTGGGCGGTCGCCCCGCCAGGCCCCGCGCAGAAAGAGGAGGGGCACGATAACGAAGAGGATAAGAATAAGGCGAAGCCAGGACGATGACAAAACCGGGTGAAGATGATTCAAGACTCTCCGAGATCTGGCGGCTCTGGAGGATGTCTCGGGCGCCTCGGCCTTCTCAGAGGGTTCCGGAACGCTCTGAGAGCGTCCCGGAACGCTCTGAAGGGATTTATCATCGTCCTAGCCCCGTCCGAGAGAAGGACAGAGGAAGAAAAACAAATATAAACATAAACATTCGGAGGTCCGCCGGACTTCCGAAAGTGTATGTGTATGCCATGCTCTCTTCCTCAAAGGGAGGGGGGCTCTCCGCTGCATGCTTGCTTCCGTATGCGCGTCGATCCGATCGGACAGCCTCCAGAAGCATGCAACTGCTGACGACAGCCTGTACGAAGCAGAAGGCACTTCGACCGTCACCACCCTCCCCATATTGGACAAGCGCGTTCCACTACTCGCAAAGGAACTCCTCGCAAATGGCCTGGGTCCGCCGCGGGGGACCTACGATCCATTATATCGAAGCAAGGCATGTGCTTTCGGACGTGCAGCATCTCACGGCTGGGCGTCCCTGGAAGACCCATCATGACTTCACGGCGGAGGCTCTTGTGGCACACGCTCATGCGGGTCCTTCCTCCCTCCCTGCCCTGCTCCCTCCTCCTCCTTCCTGCTCTCTCCTCCCCGTCCCTTTTCTCCTCCTCCTCCTCCTCCTCCTCCTCCTCCTCCTCCTCCTCCTCCTCCTCCTCTCCTCCCACCCACCAACTCCTCATCTTCCTCCTCCTCCCCTCATCCAACTCCTCCTCCTCCTCCTCCTCCTCCTCCTCCTGTTCCTCCTCCTCCTCCTCCTCCTCCTCCTCCTCCTCCTCCTCCTCCTCCTCCTCCCCCTCCTCCACCTCCTCCTCCTCTTCCTCCTCCCCCTCCTCCACCTTCTCGCCCTCCCTCCTCCCCCTCGCCCTCCCTCTTCCTTCCTGGGGCGAGCTCGGCCAGGGCCCTGCCACAGCCGCGCTCGCCCTGACCCCCGCAATCGGCTGTCGCAGACGCCCCAAACAAACTCAGACGCCCAAGAGAGCCCCCAGAGCACAGGAGCCGCTGCACTCAGACGCTCACGAGAGCTCCCAAATTCAGACGCTCAAGAGAACTCCCCCCGACAGGCAGCGCTGCACGGCGGCCCCCAGGACCCGCCCTTGCAGACGCCTCGTGCTCGGGACGGGCGAAAGGGGGGGATAGCAAAGGGGGGGGTGAAAATCAGCTCACGTAGCTGATTTCCCGTAGCTGATAGCAAATTCCGACCCCCCCCCTCTCCCTATCCCCCCCTTCTGCTCGGCCCGAGGCGCGCACGCCGGGCCCCGCGGCCCCCGCAGCTCAGGGTCTCGCCCGCCGGGGGCCTCACCCGCCTGGGGCCTCGCACGCCCGCGGTCACCGCGCTCTCGGCCGCGGTCACCGCGCTCTCGCCGGGCAATCAGGGCGCTCGTCGGGCAGAGACCAACGTGTGAGTTGAACCCTCTTCGAAGGTACACTATGGCGGTGATAGAAGATCCCTTTCCCTCTCCGAGAGGCCACAAACAATGCATAACTCTGGTTGGCTTGAGCCAACATATCACAGTACGGGGCAGAGCAAAGCACGGGAAAAGTTTACGCTCATAGGCACATCGCAGAAATCGACAATGGGCCCAATTTTAGTGGGCTGAACTTTTCTGTGAATTTCCTCATGCAATGCAAGGGGGGGGGGGCGCCGCGCCCACGGCGCCGCCAAAAGACTAGTTAAAATGCCTGACCACTGCACTGAAACTCATTTCTCTCTCTCTCTCTCTCTCGCTCTCTCTTCCACGGAGGAGAGTGACCTTGGAAGCACGACGCTCGAACTCCCTATTTTCCAGAAGAAGAAAAGAGTAAATAGCAAGAACGAATTCAGGGATGGAGGGAAGGAGACAGAGAAAGGAACAAAAAGAAACTGACGAGAAGACAGAACGAAGGTGCGTCGAGTGGATGGGGAATGGGTATAGGGTTGTCGTCGGGATTGATCGTTACTTGAACAGTTCGGGCCGGGGGTTTTCCGACTCTTGCTGAGTACGGTCCAAATTGAGACGACGCGCGCAAGCGACCTCGAACTGCAGGGCAAATCTTGCGTTCCGAGAGAGACTGTGTCTCCGACGTCAATCTGAGGGCCCCCGACTTAAGCATCCTGAACTGCGCTGCGTTTCCCTTCGAGACGTCCGAGTGAGTCATCACGTCCACTGGCGTCGGTGGATGTGGAACCCATCTGATACTACTGCCCGACCTCCTCACCACTTCTCTCACCACTGACAAATCAACTGCGATCCGACGATCTGCCTCGGAGCCCGTCGTCCCCTTGCCCTAGGTATCGCATATCCCTTTTGCGTCGGCGACGCTCACGTTGGACAGAAGGTCACAGTTAAGCTCGCTGTCCCGGCGAAGCACGCGTGTGAACGGCCCCGCATGATCTCTCCACGATTCGGACAACAAGCCGCACACGGTAATATCTAGTTACAACATCTGCAACCACTCTGCGTCTGCCAGGGCACTACTGAGGGCGAGCACCTCCCCTCCGAGAGTCGAGGGGACCTCGCGCCTGACCTTGGACGACCTCCAAGCCAGAGGACTGGCTCGAGCAGGGCTGCCGCTCGCGAGAAAACGATCTGCTGCCAGACCCTGCCAGGCCTGCTGAACCCGATCTGGACGGCCTCCTCCTACCCCTCCGCAGTCACTGATAGTGCCGAAAATCATGGTCCCCGGACGGAACTTCCCAATCGTGGTGGGAATGCTGGCAGCGCTCCGGGGATGATCCACAGCTTTGCTGGCCTGCACTAAATCTCCGACGTTGGGGTCATTGACGGAGGAAACCAAAATCGAAGCGGTGCCTGCCACCTCTCCCCTCGTCTCCTTCCCTACCCAGGATAACCGATGAACGAGAGACCCGAACTGCGCGCGCTCTGAGGCCAGCCGTGATTCCCCCTTCTATTCCGTGGCAATTCTATCTTCGTCTGGCATTCGAGAATGTACTTCTCTTGATCAACTGACACCCGATCCTTCAAGAGACGCAATCTCCTGCCGATGTAGTATATTCTTCTCGTCTATGGCATTGGGCTTGCCAAGCTGAAATCGTTCCTGTAATGACTGGAGACGCCTTTCGGCCAGGGGCGGATGCACGGCTGTGGCCAAGTCGCCGACTTCTACCAAAAGCTGCCCCTAAGTTCGCCGTCGGGGGCTCTGTCGTAGAACCAACGCGGCCCCATCATACTTATACGAAAACCTATCTACTGGAAGGAGCCAGCGGCGGCACGATGAAGCGCTAGTGGCGCGTCGTCTAGTCCGTATACTGGCGCCAGCAGTTCTATTATAGCACCTGGTTCCAGATTCAGACCTTCACAAGGTCCAACGAAGACACGGCCGGACTCACGCTTCAACTCATCACCTTGGCAGAACGCGTTGTCGCGGTCCCCTATGAACAGCTTGAGGCCGTACATAAGAGACACGACTGAGAATGGCATGAGTGGCTCCATCTGAGGAGCAGGAGTGTGTACTTTCAGTTCCGCCGTGTCTGCATCTTCGCGTCCACGCGCGCACAATCTGCTCTTTGCTTTTGGGCGAGCGCGCGTGCCTTCTTGCGGCTTCCACCGCCTGACCATTCTACTCGTTGCGACTCCCCCTGGAATGTCTCGACAACTAACCTGGGCAACTGCAGGAGGGTGTACCCGAACGGCTTCGGATCCCATGATGTTCGACCACTCTGTCTGATCCGACAGATCGAACTCGGCTTTCACCTCTGGGGAGAGCTTTCTCTTCTGGACATCTTTCCCCTTTGCGGTGGCCAAGGACAGACTGCGGCCCGGCTGACCGGACCGAACAGCCACGAACACGTCTGCGCACCCGTTCAAATAGGAGCGCCAGTCACCACTCCAACCGCAGAAAGACAAGTGCTCATTCATGGACTCGGAGAACGTCTCAAACACGTCCTGCTCGTTCTCCTGCTACTCCTCATGCAAGAGCAGGGCCAGGGCGTCGGGAACGTCCGGGTCGGGATCGGCCAAAAGAATCAGGTTTCCATGCCTATCTGGAGATCTCGACCTGTCACGCTCGGCCTGCCTCCCGGGCTCCGGATGCCGTCGCGCCTTCGCGGCCCCGGGGTTCCAGCTCGCCGAACTGCTGTCTCGCGCGACCGTAGGGGGCCCCTCCGCAGTGCCCCACCCATCGCGGGGGCCTCCGGGCCATCGGGCCCAGGCCACCCCGGGTCCAAGAGTTGGCCCCGACGCGCAGCTCTGGAGGCCGAATCCGACAGCGCACGAGGATCGTGGGACACCGAGTGCATCAGAGCGCCCCCTCCCTCGGAGGGTTGGACGTCCCCGACAGGCTGAGAGGCTGAATCGGCGGCTGGGGTTCCAAACGGGTCGGGGCGATTCGGGGCGCCGGAATCCTCTCCCGAGACGCCGCGGGACATCGCCCTTCCGGTCGAGGCGGCGTCGCTGCTAGGTGCCGCCGTCGAGGGCCCCGGTGGAGAGGCGCACGGAGGACCTCCCCCAGCTCCTACCGACTCAGCTTCTCGCTGTGCCGCCGCGGCCCTGGGAGACGAACTTCGACCTCTGTAAGGAGAACGTATCTCTCGGGATGGCGCGCCTGTCCCTCCAGACGAGGCACCCGCAGCTCCCGCGTCTCCCGCGCGGGCGTCGTCGCGGGAGAGGGGAGGCATCGGAACAAGTCCGCCAGCGCCTTCTCGTTCTCGGCTCAGAGGAGAGCTCCGTGCATCTTCGGGGGGGGGGGCCTTCACTACTGACATCCACGCCGGCTCGATGGTGCCCGCTCTGAGTCCCCATGAATAGTTCTGGCTTCCCTGGTATGTTCCGCTGAACAATTCCAGAGACGTGGTCGCGTGGCGACCCAGACGGTGTTCTGAGCCTGGAGAATGATTATGTCATGGCCGACCCACCTGTCGCGCTGAAGAGCCAGGCT